AGAGTGTATCAAGCAAGATCACACAATAGGTTTCCATGGTTGAGTGGGAAATTAAACCCTGGTCTCCAGAGTCGTAGTCCAATGCTCACACTACTACACAACACTGGGTGTCTTCGAGCTAAAATAATACTGGACAGGAAAAGAACCATGATAGTACAGAATCAGATAAAATGTGAGCCTTTAAAAGTGCCAAACAAGAGACAATGTATGGCATATTAAAAGAAACAACAAGCAAAGGCAGCATAAAAGTCATGATGAAGGGGGTCCAAATAAAGGCCTTATGATGTTGAAGTTACAGCCATAATCCAGACAAGGCATTTGAAAACTGGAAAACAACCAGGTATCCACTCATAAATCCAGGGCTCATTTTTCTGCTTTCGTTTCCTTTTGTACTTCATGTGATTTGTATTTGCTAAAGCCCACACACTGTTCACATTTTAATATAAGTATCAATAGCAGAAATTAACCAACAAATACTTGTCAGCCTTTGAAATTTGACTTGTATAATAAGCCTTTGGACGATATCATAGAGGTGAAGGCATGGAGTAACCAAGTCAAAAGGATAGCATCAATGGCCAACATAGTAGTATTATCTCCACTGCTTTGGCTGAGAGGCCCACTGCAATTTCACCACTCTTTGCTTGGAACTTTACTTCCCCAACAACCTTTCCATGGGGCTAACAAGAGGGAGAGACAGGGCAACAGTGTCCACACTGGCTGGACTAAGAGGTCTATACCATTGGCTAGGCCAACATATTCCTGCTTAAGGATAATACTTGCTCTCTCCCTTTAGATAGCAATCCGTATGGATTAGTAAATTATGGATGTGTAAGGGTTTTTAAAAAACCTATCAGCACTTGATCATAAAAATACTTCCTCAGTAGATTTTTTAGCTGAAGTCAAGGATGTCTTTGAAATATGAGTTAGAGAACCCCATTAATATACTTATTACACAGACCAAAATAATAAATAAAATTCACATCCATGGTACAAATCAGCAGATTGGTATGTTCATCCAATGGAACTTGTTGTCAAGCTAAGCCAAAATCCAATTTAGAACATCTTATTAAAAATATGCAAAATAAGCTAGACACCAGACATAACAAGCTAAAATGCTAAGAAAATAACCTGTGCTTAAATAATTCAGTGTATAATAAAGAATTTAAACACCAAGCTTCTTCAGGCTACCTCTCAAAATACTCAATTCCTCCTCCTTTGTTGGCTATACCATCCCTTCATCTCCTTTAATAAAAAAAATCCAGTGTGATTTTTTTAATCCAAATACAATCCCATTATCTGGCGCATCACTCCAGAACAAGAGTGATAAAACCTTGCCTCTGAAGAACAGTTAAATGCCAGCAGGGCCCTTTCAGCTGTTAAATAGCTTTTGAAGCTCAGATATCCACATGCTCTCCACTGAACAGTTTAACTAGAGCTACTCAAAATAAATCCCTGAAAATGTGTTTTTAGTTCAAAACATGCAAGTAAAACAAACTAGAAGTGGTCTTTTATTTTTCTGGATTCAAAAGGATACTTCCTCAGTAGCTATTTTAATAAAGACTGACCTATTTCTTCACCATGGTTTCTCTAACTAGTTCAGGCTAGAATTATTCATCAAAAAAGCAAAGGGATCATTCAGAAATAAACAGAAGATGACGTACATGAAGATAAAAGGATGTGGGGAAGTTGTTTAATACAATAGGACATTTACACTTTGGCCACTATACATAACTCTCTTAAAGCATCCATGTTCCATTATGGGAATTATATACTATGCTTTTGTCACTCATGTTGGTCTGATTCAGCACAAAAGGAAAATGGTATGGGGAACGCAGGTAAGCATCTGTGTACCTCATTATGCTGAGGAATAACAATTGCATAAAAAGGAACCCAGTTTCATCTTTATGCTCCGTCTCAGCATCTGTTTTTGAATTCATGCTGATTTGATTTCCCAGTTACTGTTAACATGAAAGGATGCTGTCCTAGAGGAAGCGGGAGTATTTACCGAAAATTGAGTGCCACTTGTTGTTTTGGGCCTTCAAGTCATTTTCATCTTATTGCAATTATAATGAGCTCCCGGTGGAACAATGGGTTAAACTCTTCTGTCAGCAGGACTGAAGACTGGCAGGTCAAAGGTTCAAATCTGTGGAGAGAGTGGATAAGCTCCCTCTGTCAGCTCCAGCTCCCCATGTGGGGACATGAGAGACGCCTCCCACAAGGATGGTAAAACATCAACACATGAGGGTGTCCCCTGGGAAACGTCCTTGCAGACAGCCAATTTTCTCACACCACAAGCGACCTGCAGTTTCTCAAGTCGCTCCTGACACACACAAACCAAAACTATAAGGTAAACCTATCACAGGGTTCTCTTGGCAAGATTGTTCAGAGTGGCATTGCCCTTGGAAGGCCTTAGAGGCTGAGAGAGTGTGACTTGCCCAAGGTCACCCAGTGAGCTTCCATGGCCAAGTAGGGTCCCAAACCCTGATCTCCAGAATCCAGTCCTCAAGCCACTATACCACCCTGGCTCTTTGGGCACCATTGAAATAAAAGGCATCTAGTCAGCCTCCAAAAACAAGAGAGAAATTGAAATAAGCTATCATTTTATCATTCACATATATTCTCTGAACGCAGAAATGTAGGGATTCAATTCCACACATGCACTTTTTGTGTAAGTTGTGTATGGCATGCCGCAGTAGAATAATGTACTGAAGGTAAACCATTAACATTTTAAAATATGCGCCTCTTTCTGAAGAATTTGTTGATTTTTTTTCTTGTGCAGGAGCAGTATTCCTCAACCTGATGCTCACAAATCTGCCAATTCCCAAAATCCCCATGAGCATGACCACCATGTTAGTTGGACAAGATGGGTATTGCTGTCAATCACTTTGGGGGATTCAGGTAGCAGAGGGTTGAATTCAATGGACTCCTACATGCCATCTTTAATGAGTTAAGATTATACTTCCAAAGACCAAAGATCTTGCCTTTGTGTGGAGCCAATGTGGTGATCCTGGCCTCACCTTCTACACAGGGGTAACAATGCACATAAAATCATTGTGTATATAATCCCATATGTATAAACAGAAATCATGCAACCAGCTGTGTGTTCATGCAAGGTATTGATAGGGTGTCAGAATTATTTTAACTTTAAAATGAATAAACAAAATATACGTCACCCTAAGGATAGACATATATGACACAAACGTCATAAAAGGGAGAGTGCTGTTTCCATACCAAACCAACAACACGGAACTTGAAATGCATATTAAAACTTCAAAGCTTGAGATCTTAAGACTAATAATGAAAAATTTATTTTTTATGACCATCGAAAAATATTTCAGAATGGTATCCCTTAGAAAACAAAAATCACTATTAAGTGCAGAGCTGTTATATCTGTTAACTTGTTGTCTCACTGCTGTTGGCCAGTGAAAAGACCACCAAAATACAGACTATCCCATGGTAAAGGGAAATCAGATCTAATTTAATGGGAACCTATACTGGGTTGGGATGAAGAAGATACCACTCGAGAGCACAACTGTCTATCAGACAGGCCAGAAATTGCAAGAATTATATTAATTTTGTGTAAGTTATCTCTGAATCAAAAAGTGGGAGGGAAATCCATCAAGGAAACACATAAAAAACCAAATAATAAAGCATCAGAAAATAAATTGCCTGAAATAATCAGAATTTAGAAATATTATTTTTGGACTACATTTTCCAAAATCACTTTCCACTTCATCACATACATTAAATACTACTGAGCCACTCAAGAATCAGCAACCTACTGTGTTCATCACATGACGTAGGCTTCAAGTGTAGGGTAGAGATATATTAGCATTTAAAAAGGTTGTAAAGGGTTATCTTTTCAGATGCTTTCTAAGATGGTTGGCAAGTGACTTTTTTCTGCCAATTATCCAGATAGAGATGGGCAAAATAGCCAATTCTGTCATGTGATGGTATTCATCACTCTCAGCTTTTAAAATGATAGTTACGCTATTTGTGGGAGGAGCCAAAATGCCCTTTTGAGAATAAGTTCCACCATTACCTTCAATCAAAGCACCCTGACAGATGGCCATTCTGCCTCCGAATAATAATAAGAATAAAGAAAACATGTTCCTAGTTTGCAAGTGTTATTTCTTGTTTAATTGTGTAGTCCTTACTTTAAAAGCAGTATTTTTGCTCCGGAAACTTTGTTTATGTGCCCATAAACAATTTTAAATTCGTGGAAACTCTAAAAGACATTCAATCATTGAGAGTCTAAAGCAAAATATGCTATAGTAGGGTGTCCCCCCTGCAAAGCCAAAGTTTTTGCAGTTTAATAAACTTTTCCACCAAACTTGGTACTGACCATACTGACTGGGGAAGTGATGGAAACTATAAACCAAACCAAACAAACATTCCTTTCCAAACTCTGAAAATATCGAGATATTCTGAAAGCTGTGGAAGTCAGTTCAATGAAACACGAGTGGTTGTATGTCTTTAAACCTATGGTTATCTGAAGCTATGAGTATATGTTCAACTAATTAGTATGTTTAACTGATTGAACATTTTTAACAATGTTACATGCACCTGAATGAAAGAATGGCATGTACCAATTAATAAGATACACTTTCTCAGAGAGACATTTGGTTTCAAAAGGTAGCACTTAAGAAACCGCTGTACCTTGAAATTAAAATCTTACCTTTAAATAATTCTTATGTGCATATATTAATTATTTCAAAATTGAAGGTCCTATTTTTTACAGAGCCAGCAATATTCTAGAGGTCAGAATCCACAATTCCTCCAGTATCAAGTCTGCATTGTATTAATTAAAGTCTGAACCGGTTCCCCAATAGATATAACCTCAACTAATTCTAATAAAGAAATGAGACCACTTTTTACACGGCTGCTTCACAGAATACTGTTCTGAGATACATCCACTGTATTTCTCAAAAGGAAAGTCATAATGGTTTTTAAAACACACAAACATGTTAGTTTAAATAAAATGGAATGCTCTGTCTTACCAAGACTGAATTCAAACTTTGGTTCACAGAGAGTCTTCTTAAGATCTGTTGGTAAAAAGAGAACTTGGTCAATAAATGCACAGCACTCTTTCATAAATTTCAGAATGTGATTAGCATTTTTATACTAAATGTATCACTGGAACATTGGTACTAACTTGTCAAAAGAGAATTTGAGCTATGTTCCAAGTCCATTGCCCTGATGCTAGCCATTACCATTAGGGTGGAAAGGTGCAGGCGAGAGTAACGAAGGTTGTATTCTTTTGTTAAAAGTTAGACAAATGAAGTGAAGCACTGTCTTGTTCTTGTGACAGGCAGATGGAACTGGTCGAGGCAATTAGCTCTCCCTTACTTCTACTAGTCATTTTCACTTCCTAAATTTAATGTTACTTTTTAGGGCAATGCGGGGAGCTATCTATATTTTCTAGCACTCACTGGAGGGAAGGTAGGATATGGATCAAAGTAATAGATAAAGGTTTGTAACATATTATACAAAAAATCAATATAAGTTAATGGAAATATCTCTAAATATGTTAAAACAAATAGAAACACTAATACCCTGGATCCCTAAAAATAAGACCTATCCCAAAAATAAGCCCTAGCATGATTTTTCAGGATTTTTGAGGATGCTCAAAAAAAGCCCTACTTAAAGTCAATTTGGAAAAACAAGATATTCCCTGAAAATAAGCCCTAACACATCTTTAGAGCAAAAAGTAATATAAGACTCTGTCTTATTTTCAGGGAAGTAAGGTACCTGTACCAGCTAGTCAAATGTATGCACTTTTCCACTGGAAGTACAGTAGAGTCTTGCTTATCCAACATAAACAGGCCAGCAGAATGTTAGATAAGCCAGCAAAATGTTGGATAATAAGGAGGGATTAAGGAAAAGCCTATTAAATGTCAAATTACGTTATGATTTGACTCATTAAGCACCAAAACATCATGTTTTACAACAAATCAACAGAAAAAGCAATTCAATACATGGTAATGTTGTGTACTAATTACTGTATTTACAAATTTAGCACCAAACATTGCAATGTAAACAGCTGTGGATCCGGGCGGGTAGCAGGCTACAGAACGTTGGATGAGCGAAGGTTGGATAAGCGATACTCTACTGTATGGCTTATGGGTCAGGTATAAAGAATTCATGCAAACACATTCTCAGTACTGCATTAACTTCACAAGCTACAGGGTGATCCCTACTGGATATCTAATCTGCCCAAATCAAGGTATTAGAGACATAATGGATTCCTACTCCTTCCAATAGATTTGCATGATTAAAAATGCAACAAACAGCATGCTTACCTGCAAGCTTAGGATCTGCAAGTCTCTCTGCCTGTGCTGAAGGAAGAAACTGCTGTACTTCGTCTGCTGTTTTCTCTTCCTTGATTTCCATGATTAGTGTCTGGAGCTGCTGGATTTTATTACACAGACCTTCAGAATTTGCCTCTCCAAGTGCCACAGCCCAAGATTCACAATCAGACCTCGATGGAGCTTCAAGGTAAATATCTGGTTCTCCACTTTGAAACTCTGCATTCAAAACAAAATGGACAAATAGGCATTAAGCCAGACATTAATAGATGTATTTATGATTATTGTAATGAGAAGGATGTTGGCAGCAATACAGAATATTATACAAATAATAAGAAGCTAAACTGTTGTTGCTCTGTATTCAGTGCAACTCAAATGTTCTAACTGCACTTCTGCTGCTGACAACTAAAATATGATACATTCAGAAAGAGTAAAAGATCAGCATTAAAATAGGAATTCAACTACCAACATTTAAAAAGAATTAAAACATACAATAAGAAGCAATAATTAAAACAATTTTCAAGTACACTTAATAAAATATGAACAGTCAGTGCCCTTCTAAAAAGCTTACTGTTTTTTTAAAAAAACTCTATAATTCTCAGAAGTTTGTCAGAATAATAATAATAATAATAATAATAATAATAATAATAAATCCTAGAGCAATTAATGTAGCTCAAAAACTAGGTGGCAGTATCATTAAACTGAAATAGTGAATACTCATTTTTACTGCTTATTTGGCAGATCAGAAAGTTCCTTCAAAGCAACTAAAGTGAGTACTAATCTGAAGTAGCAGTGTTGACAGGCAGAACTCTGTCAAATGGAGCAATGCAACTCATTAGATCAAAGCATTTCATTGTTTGTTTCATTACAACTGGACTCCATGCACTCGATTCTTGCCAGAATACTGTTCATCATTATCTGGCAATAATTTAGAATGACACAGCTCTTGGTGAACCAACAATATGTACAGAGAATATTCTGAATTGAGTTCTATCAATGAGTCTGCTTCAGAGCTGTTCTGAAACAAAGGGCCCTTCCAAACAGGGTCCAAAATGTGGGAACTGACAGACTTTTACCTGAGGCATCCAAACAATGCCTCAGGTAAAAGAAGATTAATTCAGGACAAAGCAGGTAAACATGCTTTATCCCAAATTAAATAGATATCCATTAGACCCAGGCCTTCCTGAATGGGCCCTGTGGGAACTGACCCTTGGGTAGACATGGGACTACCGAGGGGTCAGTCCCCACAGCTCAATTCACTTTTCAGGCTCCATGAGCCCAGAGAAGCAAAAAGGGCAACCAAATCCCTCCCCCCAAAGCTCATAAATAAGAAGGAACTTACCAGGGCCTCTCTGACAGGCCTCCTGCTGCATAAAAATGACATGCCAGGAAGGGGAGAGGAAGGCAAATCACTCCTGGCCCCCCACCCCCTGTCTCCTGGCGTGTCAGTTCTATGCACCAGGAAACCTGCAGGAGAGGCCTAATGGAGCCTAGTAAATTTCTTCCCATTTTAAGGGCTTTGGGGGGGGGGGGGGGTCAGTGGAAGTTACCAGGAGGGCATGGGGGCAAAAGGGAAAACCTGTTGTTTTTGAGTGGGCGTGATGACAGCAAAGCAGGTTAAAACAGATTACTTTAACTCGTTTTTGCCTGAAATTAATTGCTGTCTGGAAGTGCCCTAAGTGTTTATTTCTTGGTCTTCTTCCCCATGTGTGTGAGAGAGAATATAAGTAAGAATGAACAAATTCTTGGGTTCCCTAGGAGATTCACTCATCTGATTGGTATTCACAAAGAAAATGGCTTCTTCTGAGTACTTAAAATTCTGCCATATTGACAGTTTCATTTAGTTGCAAATTCAGCATGACATTTAACACAGTATTAATGATCGGACACAAAGTAAGCAAGAAGTAACAAAGAAATCAATGCTGCTTTAACAGAAGACACCAGCAAACTTAACTATGTATCCAAAGGTATCCAATTTGTGGCTATCTGGTTTTGCAGCTGAGCTATCTATATCTTTCTATGAGCTATCTATACAGTAATTCCTTCCCAACAACTCATTCATACTCCCTGGAACCAGAGGATGAAAGGAAAGCTTATTGCTCATGGGCACCACTACAGCTATTGTCCCTGGGGCTTGATGTTTCCATTTTAAAATATCCACCTTAAATGCAAAAATGGAGAACCACCAGCAATAGTGTCCCCTGTAGAATGGAATATTTAAAGGTATATTGAGCAGCTGAAAGCTTTGAATCAGAAATGGTAGATAAATCTTAAAATTACTAACTTAATTTTAGAGTCTGTAAAGAAAAGCCATGGAACAACAGACTGGTTCAAGATTGGGAAAGGCATACAACAGGGTTGTATACTCTCACCCAACCTATTCAACTTGTATGCAGAACACATCATGCAATGTGCGGGGCTTGACGAATCCAAGGCTAGAGTTAAAATTGCTGGAAGAAACATTAACAACCTTAGAAATGCAGATGATACCACTTTGATGGCCGAAAGCCAGGAGGAGCCAAGGAGCCTTCTAATCAAGATGAAAGAAGAAAGTGCAAAAGCTGGGTTGCAGTTAAACATGCAGTTAAACACCGGGATTGTGGCACAGCTGGCTGAGTGTCAGCTGCATTAAGATTGCTTCTGACCAATTGGTCATGAGTTCGAAGCCAGCCTGGGTCGGAGTGAGCGTCCAACCAATTGTGTAGCTTGTTGTTGACCTTTGCAACCCAAAAGACAGTTGCATTTGTCAAGAAGGAAATTTAGGTACCCCCTATGTGTGGGGAGGCTAATTTAACAAAATTTATGAGGCCATAAAAAGACTCCAGCAATGCACTCCAGCAAAAAAACATGCGGGGAATGCGGAAGTACTTCATCAGTGTCGCAGATGGACGATGAAAGCAACAGCTCCCCTGGCGGCCAGAAAAAGTTAAATATCCTCTGACTGTCTTGTTTGTGTTGTGTGTCTTGGCATTGAATGTTTGCCATATATGTGTACATTGTAATCTGCCCTGAGTCCCCTGTGGGGTGAGAAGGGTGGAATATAAATAGTGTAGATAAATAAATTAATTAATAAATAAACAAACATTAAAAAAACCAAGATTATGGCAACAATACTGATTGATTACTGGCAAATAGAGGGAGAAAACGTGAAGGCAGTGACAGACTTTGTATTTCTAGATGCAAAGATTACTACAGATGCAGAATGCAGCAAGGAAATCAGAATATGTTTATTTCTTGGGAGGAGAGCAATGACCAATCGCGATAAAATAGTGAAGAATAGAGACATCAGACTGGCAATGAAGATCCGCATAGTCAAAGCAATGGTATTCCCCATAGTAACCTACAGATGTGAGAGCTGGACCATAGGGAAGGCTGAGCGAAGGAAGAGAGATGCTTTTGAACTGTGGTGCTGGAGGAAAATTCTGAGAGTGCCTTGAACCACGAGAAGATCCAACCAGTCCATACTTCAGGAAATAAAGCCTGACTGCTCATTGGAGGGAAGGATACTAGAGACAAAATTGAAGTACTTTGGCCACGTCATGAGAAGACAGGAAAGCTTAGAGAAGACGAGAAAATGCTGGAGAAAATGGAAGGAAAAAGGAAGAGGGGCCGACCAAGTGCAAGATGAATGGATGGTATCCTTGAAGTGACTGGCTTAACTCTGAAGGAGCTGGGAGTGGTGACAGCCAACAGGGAGCTCTGGCATGGGCTGGTCCATGAGGTCATGAAAAGTCAAAAGCAACTGATCGAATAAACAATAATAGAAAAGCTCAAAAACTCAAATAAAACAATTTTTTCTTCAAACAAATGGTTTCCTTGTGTGTCCACTTCACCTGTATTTTTCCTGATGCTGATGTCTAGACCTATTGAAAACACACCTTTATTGAAAACACACACTCACATACAGATGCCACTGGACCTTACTAGATCCTCATCTGAGAAAAGCATGCTAAATTCAAGCTGCATAACCTCATTATTTCTTCGGAGTAAAGACTTAGGATCCATGCCTGGTCTGATTGAAATAAAAATATAATCATATAATTTTGTTGTTTGATGTTCGTCTGACTATGGGAACACTTTCTCCTATTGAAAGCACACAAATAATAGATTCTTGTGGGTTTTTTCGGGCTATAGGGCCATGTTCTAGAGGCATTTCTCCTGACGTTTTGCCTGCACTTATGGCAAGCACTTATTGCACTTATTGCAGGCGAAACGTCAGGAGAAATGCCTCTAAAACATGGCCCTATAGCCCGAAAAAACCCACAAGAACCTTGTGATTCCAGCCATGAAAGCCTTCGACAATACACACAAATAATGTTTTTCTCCTTACACCATATAGTTAATGCAGTATTTGCTAAGCTTGCTTTTACTGTCAACAGGAAGTCAATAAAATAAGCACAGTATACAAATTAAAGTCAGATGTTCAAACATCATTTGTTACAAGATATGAGCCTCAATATGGTGTTTCATGGTCCCTGTCATTCCTAAAACTTTAGCTGGCTAATTAATGCCCGCTCCCCAATAATAATTTGAAAGAGAAGGTGGTTGATTCAATAAAACTTAGAAACGTGCTAGATTCAAGACACTGTAAAACTGCAGGGGAAAGCAGACTAAAACTGAGTTACACAGCTAAATATAAGAAAGCATGTACTTGAAAATGTGTTTTGTTTCATTATTTTTCAAAAAGTATAAAGATATAAGAAAATATGAGGAGGGGACGTTGAATAAGAAAATAAGAAAAGATCTAATTTTCAGATACAAATGAATAGAATCTTGCACTCATATCTGTACTCTTACTTAACAGCCAGCTCGTATATCTTCATTGTTTATCAGGATGTGTTCAAAACAAGGTATATTTCACTTCAGTGAAAATGCTAGAGATTTCAGTTCTCCACAGAACTGGGAAGCAATTTATCAACACACACACCTTTATATGCTCTACAGAGCTTCTAATGTAATGGTACTACACTGTGATTCCCATGACTGTTCTGTAAATATTCAGCTGCTACACGAAATAACGTTGCAGTAGTTGACAACTCATCCATCTGCAAATTCTCCTATTCCCTTACCGATTGCAATGGTACACTGAAACAAACTAGGACTAAGCCAAGATAGAAGGATCAGATCCAATAACAAACCAGCATTAATACAAGCCGATATTAATATACCAACTTCAAAACCATTATGTTTTGTTTGCCTCAAAAATATAATTAGCCAGG